CAAATAGTATCCCCGCAGTCTTCATGGTACGATAGGACCTGCAGCAACATATCTTCCAGCCGGTATAGCTAGCTGGGTTATTTTGATGTGCAATACTTAGATCAAAAATGTTTTTCATCGACCCTCTGTCAACAAAGTGGAATTTGAATAAAATCATTTTCATATTTAATTGTACCGATCCAATGCAGCAATTATAGGCATTAATCCATCTATTCCTATGATAAATTTGTCATTATGGCTGATGGTGAGCTTACAAAATTCTCTCTTGTTTTCAAATTATTGTTATTTTCCACTCAGTCTCTTCAGTTTCCTCTTGTTATAAATATCGAAAGTTTTAAGCAGTTAGATTAGTTAACAACTGTCTTTATGGCGTATATCATTCGGGTTTAAAATGATGTCAGCATGCTTCTGATATTGTTTGAACGTGATTAATTATGAGTATGGCATTGTTTTACGTAAATAAACTATTCAGTCAAGATAAAAAATTTGACAAAGAACAACTGTAATGTTTGAGTAATGTTTTTGAAACGTACATATGCCTTGTTTAAATGGATTAAATTATTATAAGTCTATTTGTTATTGGTGTTTACGCACAGTGGTAATATGGCGAACAAGACTACTCTACCGTCATTGAATAATATACTTCTGAAACTTCTTAGATAAGCAGTAGGTTTATAATTAGAGTGATTTAGAAGTGAATAACACTATATACGCAACCGTAATGATAATTTTTGTTATCTCTAATAACAATAGCTTTATCATGCACATTAAGTTTACACAACTTGTATAGTTTTCAGCCTAGTTTATTGTATAATATTTTCTCTTCATCCAGGAGTTTTAAGTACAACAGCTATCCCCAATAGATCATGTGATTCAGAAATGTTAGATCTGAAGAATGAAGTAATCCTTTATTGTATTTTACTTTGGTTCGCCAGAAATGAGCAACAGTAGGCTGCAAACCAATGAAAAAATGTGTATTTATTTATTTTTGATTACAGCTTGATTCCACACTGTATTTTTGGTACAAGTTTGGAATTTTCAGCGTGGATATCGGTAGCCCAAAATTCGCAGGCCGACCATAGATATCAGGTGTGCGTCGGCGTGGGTTCGAACCCCGGACCATGTGCATGGTCGGCGAGAGTCCTAACCACTGTGCCACGGACATATATGGCGGCTCATATGGTGAACCACAGACTCAAATGAATGATTATAACAACGCGAATAAAAGAAAATAATACGTATTATCTAGGATGGAAATTCGTGTGGACCAGTGATTCAAGCACGTCGCCAGTATAGTATATAGTATAATAAAGAATACGAAAACACTGTCCTTGTTAAACTAATATTTGATTACAACTTTGATGTTATGAAAACATTTCATGAAACTGAATTGGTTGAATTACAATTCAAATGTAGGGGATATCAGATGGCTCTGGCATATCTTGATTTTCGGTAGAAGTGGGAAATCGACGCCTATATGATGATGTACTCTCGCCTCATCATATAACTGCCCTTGGTGTAATGACTGCACAAACTACTGTAGAGTCTTAGACTAGGACAATAAATCACCTGTACAGCAATATCCTTTGGTTTTCATTGATTCTTCAGCCACAGTCAGTATGTAAGCCTAGATATTGAATTGTCAGTCCGAGAAGCGAAATGGATTCGTTAAACAGTGATATTGATAGTCGTTGCTATACGAAATATTAAGTGAATATAACTTTTTATTACGAAATAAGCAATATCGTATGCGAAATTGTGTTGCAGAGTCACTGAATTCCCATTAGCGAAAATGTGGTCTGAAGGATGATTACAAATTTCTTCTGATCAATTAAACGGGCCTGTGAAGAATCTCCAGATTTGTGAATTTAAAATTTAATCCATAATAATAATACTTTTCACTGAATTGAAGACTTTTCAATTGCTCTATGTTCCAAGTCGAACATGCCGCTTCATTCATTGAAGATTCAGTGTTGGTTATCTTGCTTTCATAGGAGAGAAGCGCTAGTCATCGACTTATCTTCCTTGTCCTCTAGGATGGCCAGTGGTTGGTAAACTAGTCAAGGCTTAAGAGTGAATTGGCTGGGAATCAAAGCGAGATCATGTGAGTGACTGGCGAACATTCTGCAACTGTATTACATACTCAGATGACTATAATAATATTCAAAAGATTGTAACATTAGTAGTATATGGAATATAAAGACAGTATATAAATGGACTAAGAGTTAAATAAAAACCTCGGGTCCTCGTAAAGTAAGTGTCACTTGTCTATTAAAAATATCGGGAACAATCACCTTCAGATGGTGAAATATACTTAACTTGACACCTAAAATGGTGTCAAGAGAGTCAACAGAAATGTATTATTGACTGACACAGCTAGTTATTTCCTACTCACATTTACAAGTAGTACATTGTAGATACGTAGAAATAATTTGATCACTTGGAGGATGATGTACATATTTGAGTTCATACTTCACTAGGCATATTTTTGTAATTGATCATTCTCATAAATCTCAGGTGGGTGATGAAGTTTGAAGTTGATATAAGGGGAATCGACCTTAATCTAAAGTCATAACGCTTTTAGTACTTAATAAGAAACCATTAAACTTCAGAGATTAAACTAATCTGAGTGTAGCCTTACTGCTGATTGTACTTTCCTCTGGAATACCGAATCACTTTTCTGTTCTCCAGATAAAATCGACGTTACTGACGTGCATCACTGAGTTGATGTGTTCCGATTTTCAACTACTTCTGGTGATCAGTGTTTTGTATTGTCTATCACTTATTTGTTCGCCTACTAAGCAGTACTATAATAATTTTCACTTTATACCTAAATATAATATTCCCCTGGGTTCCGAATGGAATATAGGGCTTCAACAGCACATCACCATTTTATCCTCTTCATCTGGCCCCACGATTTTCCGTAATTTATCAACCCCTTCTTCATGTCACCCTCGGTTCATGTCATGCTCAGTTCACTGTTTCTCACTCGGGTTCTACTCGAGGGCTTGACGTGTGATGTCACACAACAGTCTCTTCAACGTATGTCCGATCCATCTTCATTTTCATTGACATATTTGTTGAGTAATAGATGCCTGATTGGTTTGTTCCCAGATTTTCTTGTGGTTAATTCTCCCAAGTCGACCATACGATCTCCGGTATGGATAGAAGGCATCTGCAGATAAAAGTCTGCAGTTTCCTGGAATGCTTCCCGTGACACATCAAGTTTCCGAACCATATAGAAGCATTGACTTAACATTGGTGTTAAAGGTCCGAATTTCGTCCTTTATAGTGAGTGCAGAAGATTTACAAACTGCTTTCAGAGTGATAAAGGTTTGTCTGGCTTTTGACATCTCCACCCATCCCGCCAGTTACTGAAACTAAGCTGCCTAGATAAGTGAAGGAAATTACCTCTTTCAAATCTCTTCCGTTGATAATGGTCGGTGCTTGCTGTTGTTGGTTGGTTGTCTTCACCACCTTCGCCTTCTGTGTTTTTAGTTGAAATACTGTCTTTGCTGCTTCTTCCACCGATTTTCCGGTTTTCGCCTCTGGGTTCTCAAGTTTATGTTACATTATACTTAAATCATTACCAGATCTTCTAGAGTCTTCTTATCACTATCTGAAGTGTTCTGAAGTCTCTTTTACTTGCGACCTGTTCCGATTCAGTTGCCAGCGTGTCGTAGAATCATCTTTTGTCTTTCTTCACACTTTTCCATTTATTTATTCATCACGCTGTACATTGGACTTGGCTTCCCCTTTAGTTGTCCATCTCTGCATTGATTCATCTTCTTCCTCACTATCTTTCCCTCCTCTGTTAGCTTCCAGGTATTCATTGACAGTTATTCCTTGTCTTGCTTCTTCTTTCCTCCTGAAGCACCTCCACAGGCCTTCTTCAAAAGCATTTCAAGAGAGTGCTCCAGTGTTATTCTACATAGGTTTCCTCAATGATGAGACGTAGTGTCTCCGACTTTCCTCTGATGGTTGCAGTAAATGCGTCCTTTGCAGTTTCATGCTTCAGTTTCTGAGCGCTGAGCTTGAATTATGGTCTATCCTCAGCTGCTTTGAGTGCTCTCAATTCGATGTTGGAAGTTCTATTTAGTAGATAAAGGTCTCAGCCCACATCTGCTCCTCTTCTCAACTTTGTGCCTAGCAGGTTAGATCGCCACTTTCTTGAGAGTTAGATGAAATCTAATTTTTTATGTATATATCAGGTGAAATCCATGTCGCTTTGTCTAAGTCCTTGTGCTTCTACACGCTGCCTCCAATCACTATATCACTGAATGCACAAAAGTCTGCGAAGAGTTCTCCGTTCTCATTCATTTCGCCGAGATCCTGGCACCCTATGATGAATTTTCTTCCTGTATTGTATGCTGCCAGTTTAGCATTCATGTAACTCATTAGGATTTTGATATCTCCATTTAGCGTCTTGTCCATTAATGCTTGCAGTTGTCTGTAATGTTCTTCCTTCCTCTCTTGTTCTGAGTTGTTTGTAGGCGCGTAGCAGCAGGTGATTGTGACTTTGTTTCCTTTCGAGTTGAATCTTTCTGTTACTATCCCACTGTATAAGAGCTTTGGCTGCTGTTGCTAACATAATGATAGGGACTTCCCTAATGTGATCATGATTATTCTCTGGGTGACCGAAGTAGATTGCTGAGTCTCAAGTTAACAATTTGGAGAGTTTACATCCATTCCACCTGTTCTCACAGATTCCAGGCATTTCTATAGTTCATATTCCCAAAAGCATTCATCAGTCTGCGTCACTCCGTCTCTCCAAATCCAGCGAAGAAATGGTTTATTTTTTATATTTGTCATGTGCTTCAATTTTCTGAAGCGATTGGTTTGATTTTCCAGGGTAAGGTCACTAGCCATACATCCAACCTTCCCTGTTTTACCCGGGGTAAGAATCGGCTAGGAAACTAGTGCACTAATAAAGTAAGCGAGGATATATGTATATAAAATATTTAAAAATATATATTTTTCTACTGAATTACTTTTCACAGGTGAGCGTGTTGTTCGTGTTCGACGAGAAGATGCACTAAACGAAGACATTTCAGCAAGTGGTGGGGACGATGATATCCCAGCGGAAACGACTCCAGCACCTTCGGTAAGTATATATATATATATATATATAGCGTCTATCATTAAGATGGGTTTATGAAAAGAAAAACCAGTGACTTTACAACGACGTTTAAACAGTTGATGCTGTTTAAGTTGCGAAGAAAAGTGGCTAAAAATAACAGCTTAACTTCAACAACAATAATTTCTCTTACTTCGTCAGTTCTTCACAGTTGTGAACAATTTACCTTTAAAATGGGAATTTTCTATACATTTAATCCGTATAATTTATCGATTCACTGATATTTAGTATGTTATTATTTTATTCCTATACGTTCCCAGTGGAACATAGGGCTTCAAGCTTGAGCTTTGACGTTTCGGTAGCAGTGGTAATTACTTTTACGGGGTGTAGTTGCTAGCCTCATGCCCAACCTTTCCTCTTTACCAACATTATTTCTAGCTTAGCGAGGTAAAGGAGTGCGTCGGCCGGGGATCGACCCCGGTACTTAATAGGGTAATTAAAAATGTGAAAAGAGGAAAATATATCAATAAAACTTTTCGGAAATTTTGGAAAGTACACATCACTGAACATTAACACTAAATAGGTTAATAACACTTATGCTGTCAAAAAGATAATGTCAAAATCTTATATTTGTATAAACTAACTTCTAATCCAAATTTTTGGGTTCTTGAGGATGTTAATTAATTTTGAGATAGGTTCCACCACGAAGTGTTATCACTAAAAATCGCTCAATACTGGTTAGCTGCTTCGTCCTACCTTGAGACTATCCTACAGTACCCACTACAGACCAAACCCAGGATTACAGGGTCCTAATTAGAATTCGTATACCACAAACTCCTCTCATAGTGAGTGTAAAGTTGGTGCTTATTGATGGCATTGGTTGATTATGTCTTTGCATCACGAAATGACAGTAGTTAGGTTTTATGCATCATTATATTTCCCGCCAAAATGTTGAATGGCCAGCAGGCTAGCCTCTTGAATTGATTGTGTTGTGTTCGTTGCGCATCCGAACTGTGAGTGTGCAATCCTGAAGAACCCCAAACTCGAACGAAACAACTCTTCAATGCTGCCTAGTTTTCTGTGGTTCTCCAAATGATATCAGTTGTCGATGAAGTCTAACTTTAAAGGTAAACAAAGTTAACTATATGTGCGATTATATTTTAAGTGTATACGCTACTAGACTTTATGGAAATTTACCAGGAAGGAAAAATTAGCATGATTAGATTCAAAAAAGCCTAGTAAGGCTTTTTATAATTACTCATTATATTAACATCAGTCTGTTCATTCAATGGCTATCTCAGATAGTTACACTAAAAACCTGGAGATGGAAGTACATTTTCACCTGTACAAACTTGAAAAATGTATATTTTTCTAGTTGTTTAAATCCCAAATTTTGTGATGTACACAATGATGAGACATCTTACCAACAGTAAAGTTTACACACGCCCTCCCCCCCGCTTTGAGGAGATTGAAAATGTTGGGACGATTGGAGATGTAACCATTCATTCCTATAAAGTGATCACAAGAATTTATTTTGTTGGTATTATTACTATGATTATTCCTAATATCCTCATACTTTTAATGATTTTCATACTTTTGATATTTTCGTAGACAGAATTTCCAATCTCATTATAGACATCAGTGTAGTTGTGAAAAGAAGTGAATTTATGTAAGGGAAAAATTTGAGCACTGTGATAGAACATATTATCATCCTGGATGAATTCATTGTTTGTGATATTCAAATGAGTTTATCTAATATGGGAGTGAATTCCCCTTATCCTACGAGAAGAATAGAAGCATTTACTATTTCAATGAATAAGAAAGTTTGATCAGTTTATCTCCTTCTTATCTATCTGTCCTTATATATATATATATATATATATATATATCTGGCTAACTGAATTAATTCATTGCAGCAGAAGCAGGTACACTGATCACAAAGAGTAGGAACTTCATCTAATAGCTTGAAGTATTTAGTTTTCAAACAATAATTTACCGGTTCCAATCTTTTTAACTCCAGGTCAAGTTTAAATAACCAGAGGAGTATCTTGAGCATTTATTAGTGAAATGCTACTTCATAGTTTATTAGATGAAATTTTAAAGCCTTCATAACTTTCACTGTGTAAACTAAAGCTTCTCCAGTGGTAATACGTTGTCAGATAAGTAGTGTCGATTTTCGAAGCAAGTTTAACCAATATAGATTTTATTTTGGTTAGAGTCAATTATTTGAACACATGTAAGATATATTTACGTATGATGTCATATTTTTCATCGCTTTCTTTAACTTTATAGAGTGTAAAAGGTCCTGGACCATTCTTACAAGCAAATATTGTGACAGGTCCTCGTGGTGCACCAGGTGAACCGGGTCTACCTGGACCAATGGGGCCTGTTGGGCCGCCGGGAAAAATTGGTGAACCGGGTCCTCCAGGACCCTCTGGCGAAGATGGTGGCCGTGGACCTCCTGGTCCATCTGGTGATCCAGGGGTTGATGGAAAACCAGGCTTAGATGGCGAACCGGGTATGCGTGGAACTTCAGGGCCTCCCGGACCAGTGGGTCCAATGGGTTTAATTGGACCTACAGGTCCTCCAGGTCCGATGGGCCCACCAGGTTTGAAAGGCATCAAAGGATCTCCAGGTATTGATGGACCAATGGTGAGCTAAATTTTCATAACTCATATATTCTATCATTTCTGTATGAATAAATGTTATTGAACGTAAATGGATAAATAACTCGATAAATTGGTAGAGATTTAAAGAATGTACTCTTATCGTAGCCCAAAATCTTTCTCAGGTTTATTATTCTTGAGCTTCAAATAACTGTCAGTCCTAGTATCTTAGACATTATTATTTAACCAAGCCGACCCACTTGAGAGTTTCAGAGGAATATCTGCAATGGCTGATGGTCTTAAACTGTAGTATCATTAATACCTCAGCTAGTTTAATGATGAACCTTTTATTATCGTAGTTAAGAGCTTCCTGAAATAAATTATCGGTTTCTGACTCTTCACCGTACTTTTCAGATATGACCAAAATCGACCAGACGGTGGTTAACTATAGAAAAGATGACGGCCAATGGAACTACTGAATGTGCAAATCCTTTGTTCTGTGAAGTTTTTAGAAGTATATCTGTCTCACAGATAGTCTTTAACATATCTATCATTTTAGTAAACCATTTTGATTCTAGTTGATCCTCGCAAGCTGTACATAATTCACTCCTCGTGCTGCTATTGAACTTAGTGCACTTGTAATCCTGAAAACGTTGAATATTCATAAGGCATTCAAAGAATTTTAAATAATTGATGAATTTGGCTGAATTTATTTTTCATTATGAAAACTCAAATATACTGAAGCTTTTCGTTTGCCATTATTTCTCACCCATCTGACAGATTGACATGCATTCTATTTAAAGTGTACTGAATATTTGTCCACTTCTACTTTTAGGGTGAACGAGGTGAAGTTGGTCTCCCAGGCCCGTTCGGTTCACCTGGACCTAAAGGACCACTTGGAATGCCAGGTGCTCAAGGCCCAGTTGGTCAAATGGGTACACAAGGACCAGATGGATTTCCTGGATTGATGGGTCCAGTAGGCTCACAAGGATCGCCAGGACCTGCTGGAATGATTGGACCGGTTGGTTTAAAAGGTGATGAAGGACTTCAAGGTCCACCAGGCTCTCCTGGTGACCCTGGTGATCCTGGTTTAGATGGAAGTCCTGGAGCTGATGGAGAGCCAGGACCTATGGTAATTTTTCATCAGAAATTCTTCAGCTTATTATATGTCAACTTATATGAAACCGTTTCTTTAGTTGACTTGAGTACAAAGCAACTTCAATATGTTTTTTTTAGCCGTATATTATGCAAACAGCTTTTTCGGCATTACATCAACAGAAACTCAAGTCTTAAGTCAGGATATTTATTACTAGGCTGATCACATTACGACTGACAAACGTCTGCCAGTATAGTTAGAATTAGTCAGCTAAACTGATTGTAATCCAGAAACTAACCTGTATAGGTAAGCAGTTTACCTGGCTAAAACAGGTATGAGGCATGAAAATAAGGCGTTTCACAACAAAAGTTTTATCTTGGAAAACCTGTTACTTCTCTGAATTACTTATTATTATTATCTAAAGGATATGCGGAAATGTTCGTCATCAGTAGGAGACTGAGTAAACTTCAACTTGCTGTCACTTTCAATCTGACAGAAACCTTAACCAAGATGATGAATATACATCTAACTGTTTTAAATTAACGAAAGTAAAAAGTGACACTCGTCTTGCCTCAGATTTACATTCAACTCATAATTTAAGACTGATCAAATATTACCGATCAGGTCAGTAATCCACCCACACTCATTTAGGCGACTCAATACCTCAACTAATTAACATCATCATTTTTCATTTATCTGAGTAATGATCCCTCAATGTATAAACTATCAAAATCCAATTAACTAATGAACATTGGATAAAAATGAAAATCTATCACATAGTGAATAGTCAGAAGTCGAAAGTGATTTTAATATTTGTTCAATAAACCATTGATGAAAAATACATTCTAAATTAATGTAATTCTACTTGAAGATTACAGTGAGCTTTTGCAAACACAAAACATAAATCCACGCAGTGTTGTCAGTTGTCTCCTCCTTAAATTTAATGCCAAATAACAAACCTCCATGATTTGCAGAAGTTTCGTGTCACTTATTATGCTGACCGAAATCCAGTACCTCAGCAACAGTTTCTGATCTGCGCACTGTGAACTCGACAGACAATGTTTGGTGGCTGATAAGCATGCATTCCTGTCTATATGGCAGTTGACATTGCAATTATATTGTAAGCTAAAGTGTATGACCACCTTGTATTTATGTGTATTATGGATTCACATGTAGGCCAATACCATCTTCGGTAGATAAAAATAATTACGCGAATATAGATCTATTGTCTTCAGAGAAGTCTAATCGTATTATCTAATTACCGAAATACTAAAGTTATCGGAGCAAATTTAGAACCCATAACTTAGACGCTAAAATTCAGTACAACCAATCAGAAGTTCTTGTAACTAGTGATTATGTCTTACTGTTACTTTTTTGCTTTTTATAAAGGATGAAATACTAATAAAATCACTAGGTGGCTGTCTTATCTTTATCCTCATAATATTGTAGGGTATTTAAATAAACTGTACCAGCCACCATAATTAAAAAATGTAAAATAATATAATATGTAATATATATAAAATCTTAAAAAAGTGTGACTCATATGATTGGACAAAGTTTTTAAAAACAAGAGATGTCTTTTTTATATATTAAATTCGATTAATTTCCTTGGAGAAGTTTTAACTAGTTCACCAAACGAAACGTTGGACTTACTCATTTCAATTTCGTTGAGATTCTAAAAATATAATTTTTACAAATGTTTAATTAGTATTAGTTTCCTTTTAGTTGAACTGTCATATACTTTTATTAACATCTTATAAGGCATTTATTTATCTTCTATTTTAGGGGCCAGTGGGAAAAGATGGACCACCAGGTTTAAAAGGCGAGAGAGGAATTCCAGGCCCCATGGGACCTCAGGGCGCTGCTGGCCCACGGGGATTATCAGGAGGGCCAGGGACTCCAGGATCGCCTGGAGAAAAGGGATCTCAAGGAGTTCCAGGACCACAAGGACCGACGGGTCCAGCTGGACCAATGGGACCTCCTGGAGATGCTGGTGATAGAGGGCCATATGGACCTATGGGTGATATTGGTAAACCTGGTCCACGGGGTCCACCAGGTGAGACCGGACCGAAAGGAGACACTGGTATGATTGGTGCTCAGGGGATGCCTGGAAACCCTGGATTAGATGGAATACCTGGGAAACCTGGAGAAGCTGGAAGTGACGGAGAAATGGGTAGGCAAGGTATGCCTGGTCCGCCAGGTATACCTGGGCCTTCTGGACGAGATGGAGAACCTGGTCCTAGAGGTTTCCCAGGCTCGAAGGGTCAGGATGGTTCACAAGGTCTACGCGGTGCAGTTGGACCAAGAGGCCCACCAGGAAAAGATGGAGATGATGGTGAAATGGGCGCAGCTGGTCCTCCAGGACCTGCAGGCCCACCTGGCCCCTCTGGACCACCGGTAGGTTAATTTGGCATAAATTTTCGTATTGCATTGTTTTAACCACTGATACAAGATGGAGTTACAAGAAACACACTAATGAATGGATCAGTTTATATAAGATAGCTTTTGAAAGAAGGTTTATTAAAAGAAATGCAGTGAAATCAACTGAAAAAAGGTCTGGAAATTAGGATTACTTTGTAAACATGGTGTTATTTTGTTAGGAGAATTCAGAGGTTTGGTTAAATCCAGTGGGATACAGATGACTGTATCAAATATCAGCATTCTCCACTTGATTGAAAGAAATACATCAGACTGAAAATTCAACGAATTATTATTTCGAATGTGTAACATTCAATTAAGCAGGTTATGTATTCATAAATGATGGTTGTTTATACCGTCAAAATACGTCATTCACACATATCAGTTAGTGCTATATACCATCAAGTTATTTCGCCTGATTTCTTGATTGGCATCTAGCATATCAAGCAGACAGAATGTTTTCAAAGGATACCATGGTGAATTTTCACCTTGATCTGCATAGTTTGCAAATGACAAATTTGTATTACCTATCTGCCCAAGTAGGTAACCAAAATTTGTTTGTTTTAAACTGATTCGACTCACGGTATTGAATAATTCACAACTTACCTCTAAGATTTGTTGCATTTAAATTACCATTGACTAATTTTTCTCATACATACCTGTTTCCTCCACCTAGGGTGTTCGTGGTGGACGAGGTCCGTCTGGTGAAGCAGGAGATACAGGACCCCCAGGTCCACAAGGTAGTCGTGGTCCAACCGGAGCTCGTGGGCGTCGTGGGAAAGCTGGAGTAGCTGGTGGTCCTGGAAGTATCGGAGCACCAGGTGAAAGAGGTCCGTCTGGACCTATCGGACCATCGGGTCAGCCAGGACCTATTGGACAGCCTGGTCAACCAGGAGGCAAAGGTCCTACTGGAAGAGATGGGAAACAGGGTACTGATGGCAGACCAGGAACACAAGGACAGGTTGGTCTGCCAGGTCCTATTGGAGAGCGTGGACCTGCTGGTGAAGACGGCGAACAAGGCTACCCTGGTTTACAAGGTCCTAAAGGGGAAGTTGGTTCACAAGGTATCCCTGGACGAATTGGGCCAGCCGTAAGCAAATTGGCTCTTAAGCCTACATTAAAAATTCTATTATCATATTTAAATAACAACACTGTTCTGATCGGAATTCTGTATCCAGTGCGCCCTTTATTCTCTCCAGGATGATGTGACTCAGGATTTTACTTGGCGTCGACAGGAGCATGATTCCTCGCCAGTTCTTGCAGAGTCCATAGTCGCGCATCTCTGATAGTTTCACGAGGTAACCTTTCCTCCAGTCAGCAGGCACCTTTCCCTCCTTCTAGACCTTTTGCAATAATGGAGTCAGTATATCTGCTGTCGTCTCTGGGTCCGCTTTCAGTGCTTCAGGGGAGTATTCCATCTGGTTCAACTGCTTTTCCAGCTTTCAGAAGCTTGATTGCATTCAAGACCTCAGCTTTCGTTAGAGGATTGGTGTCAACTTGCAGTTGTGTGCGCGCTGTTGTTGGTATTTCTGGACGGGTTGCAGGTGGTGGTCGGTTCAAGAGTCCTTTGAAGTGACCCGCCCACCGCAGACGATTAGATTGATAAAAATAGGTGCATCACATAATAACAATATTAAGTGCTGTATTACTTTAGGACTGGTCCTCTCTTAATTTTAATTTTTAGAACACAGAAGTCAGCCGGCATTAAAAGAGAAACTTCATGTGAAAATATGACAGTGCCAGTTGAAAACTGTATCCCCATACATTTTTTATTTAACGGTCATCTCAATGAAGTGTGAATTCCACTTATTCTCAGTCGTGCTTACAACGGTCTCTTTATCTACGTTAATTTCTTCTTACTGTTATATTAATCTACAAGGTACTAGTTGACACATACTACAGCAGTAATACTCTTTTAAGCTACGTGATGTTTAAACAATGTCTACCGTTTACTGTTTACATATCTAACGTTAAATAGAAACCTTCAAATTTAGAATCTAACTCAAAAAGATTCAAAGAAACTTGAACGAAATGCGACCTCCACTAAATAGATGGTTTTGTAAACCCAACAGAACAATAAGTCTTCTAATCAACTTGTTCGTCAGTTCACTAAATACCAATAATATTGTGAAAGATAAGATTTTATGACCAGCAGAATATCATCGGTAATCTAAAGGAAACTAGAATAACAGTGGGCATTTTTACAAGAAGTGGTTCGAGTTCAATAAAATTTCAAAGTTGAATAAATCGGATCAGTCAGCTGAATATTCTCCTTTTATCTTGTATTTGACATCGCTGGATTATGATTTAGCTTTTGTTTGAGTGACTTATGGTATTATTCCTTTAGTGTCATCGATCAAGTGATGCTTTTGTGTCTAAATGAATCAACAACAAATCATAACAAATACTAAATACAACTAAACTAAAGCTTTCCCTATATTTCAGCGAATAAAGCTTTTTGATGAGCTTGTCCTCATATATAAAGGATTGCACAGTGAATTTATCATGACTTTTCATCAGTTCACTTCATGATCAACATGAGCACCTTAATTCCAGTAGACCGGGTACTAACAGTTCCCCTCAGATTCCTCCAAAAACTCCACTTAATGATGATTTGTAGGATATTGCAATTATAGTTAGTCAAAATATCACTGTACGAAAAAATAAATTATGAACGGTAATGTCCACGGAAGCATAAAACTTATTCTTAACAAATCATAACCGCAAAATAATATATTCTGCTTTTTCACTTTTTCCACTAAAATAGGGTCCACCAGGTGTCCGAGGGGGTTCCGGTCAGATGGGCCTAAGAGGAACTAAAGGACCACGTGGTACTCCTGGAGAAGATGGACCACCAGGAAAAGATGGAGCACCTGGCGAGTCAGGACCTCCAGGTGAACCCGGTCCTCGAGGTCCTCTTCAAGTTCAGGGTTATGATAATGGTAAAATTGTTGGTCCACAAGGAGCTAAAGGTCTACCAGGATATCCTGGACCACGTGGAAGACCAGGAATACCAGGTAAATTTTAATAGAATTAGTTCACAATGTAGATTTCTGTGTAACTTTTTTTGTGCTGATAAATGCCTTCAATTCATACATTTCTAAATGAGATGAACTGGGCAGTGTTCACACTTATACTTCTTCACCCGCTTGCCTAATTGCAGCAGTCTCAATGCCAGGTGGTTGTATTGATGAAAAAAATTAATGGTCATTAATGCTCTAATTTGAATAAATTCACTTCAAAAGGCAACTGTTTTTAAACTTTCAAAATCTCAATTTTTAACAGTATTGATATGCCCTTTCTGAAGCTCTATAATTTGTACACAGAATTTACAAAATTGGATTCTTACCACTATCATTTATTTATTTACTTAAAAATAGAATTTACACTAGTCAAACAAATTAATGGCTTAGATTGCGCGATCTTTGAATAATTTACTGAAAACTCGATCAATTGTTCTCATTGTCATTTTCTTTAGCAATTAACTGATTTTAATACCTAGTAGAGGCTAACCTTGAATAAATTATTCAGCTGTTGTTACCGTAGTGAACTATTCACTTAGGTGATTTTCAGAAAATCGGTTGACGTTAACGGGAACAAAATCCCCTGGACTGTAGATTGAAATAATAATAATAAATAACAGAAAAAAACTTTTTTCTATATGATATGTCGCACTCAGTACAGAATTCTCATAGTATTTAACTTTGGAGGAAATGTGATTCAATCAGTCACACTGAGAACTCTGTACATCATGTAAACATTTTGTACAGAATAAAGCTGTTATTATTACTATTTATTGGTCTTGATTTCTCGCTAGAATTGGGGAAGATTACTGGTAGAAAATGCACCTGGTGAAATCTATCCAGAATAACTGTCGTCCACCGTCACTTCATTCAAATCAATAGATAAGAATCCTTGTACGCTGAGGGGTTTATTCAAATGTACACTGAAGGTTTATTTAACTCTTTCGTATTACCTTGATTACTGACTGAATCTGAATAATGCATATCAGCAGTTTGTAACTACTTACTATGTTTAAGTAGTATAGTGGATTCTTTTTTTCTTTTTTTCCTTCAAGTCCCCCAGTGGAACATAGGGCTTCAAGCTAGTGGCTTGAAGTTTCTGTAGCAATGTTTATTTTACAGGATGGGGTTGCTAGCCTCATGCCCAACCTTTGCTCTAGACCAGCAATGTTTGTGGCTTCGCGAGGTAAAGGAGTGCGTCGGCGTGGGATCGAACCTCGGACCTTGAGCATGATCGGCGAGCGTCCTAGCCGCTATGCCAACGACGCAGTCTTGTAGGTAGTTGATATCTATATAAATCATAGTATTGATAAAGTACTGATAACTCACCAACAGTCAACCTCTTTAAATACTTATTTTCGATACTACAACCACTGGAAAAGGAAACTCGGAATATTGTAGAAGACTCATATGATTTCAAATCCCAAAAAGAACACCGATAAATTGATAAAGAAGACATTATGGTGGGCTATGAAATTCACTCATTACATACTAGTATCCCTATTACCGAAAGTCTTGATATCATTTCCAGTCTACTAGAATCACATGGAACGCTATCCCAAAAATGTCCACTGGACACCAGTGAAATAATTAAGAGCTTGAAATTCTGTCTAGAAAATAATTATTTTACATTTAATGGGAATTTATATAGAGAGACAAGTGGTGTTGCTATGAGCTCACCAGTCTCCCCATTAGCCTCTGACGTCTTCATGAATAGATTGGAAGATAACATCTTTTCAAGCATACTCATTCCTAAAATATGGTTAAGATATGTAGATGATACTTTTGTAGTACTAAAATGAGATCTACACTGTTCATTCTTGGAGAAAATAAACAGTCTATCTCCCAGAATCTAGTTTACTTCGGAAGCAGAATCAGACGTCGGTGAACTACCATTCCTACACTACCTAGTTAAGAGGAGGGAAAACGGACACTTAAGTACATAGGTATTCAGGAAGAAAACCCACTCCAACAAATATTTAGACTTCGGATCATCACACCCCATCAGTGCAAAGGTATCAGTTGTTTCAATTCTTCTTAGACGAGCACACTCTGAAAACGGATGAGAAAGAAAAAGAGGAAGAAATATCAAACATTACTGAGACTCTCAAGCAAAACAACTACTCAACGAACCTCATCAACAGCATGAACACTGACATTAAGTATGGTCGAAAATATATTCCGAAAACATGGACCTCAACAGTTGTCATCCCATACATAGCAAAGACGTCAGACGATATCACAAGAGTACTCAATAAGCTCGGTATCAGAGTTTTCTTCAAAACATCAGACATACCACGAAACGACCTTGTCCATATAAAAGACTGAATCCCTAAAGATTCCGTATCAAATTGTGTCTATAAAGTAAAGTGCTTGGAATATGATACGACATACATCGGACAAACATCGCCAGAGAGAAATCAAAATCAAAAGAAATAAACACCGTAGAGCATCTGTTCGACCACCGAGAAATCCAGTCAGTGAAATAAAAAAGCTTGAAAAATCATATCGATAGGTCTACACGCTATAGAATCAGGCCACAAAATTGATTTTGACAACATTGAAATAATCCAGAAAAATTTCAGAAATCACAAAGACCGTCTAATATCAGAAGCATTTTATGTCAAATGGAATCCAAATTGTCTGAATAGGAATGATGCTCTTAGACAGAATTTGACCTGGTTAAAACACCATCCTTCCTATAAAATGACAAAATCAAAACGAATGTGATAAGCAATTTCATTATAGAAACACACACTGCTTTTAGAATTTTACACACTTATCAAATCCAACAGTCTGCACCTGGTTTTGTTATCTTTACCAGTTGGCCAACTTGACAACGAAAAGTGACCCCATACAGTGGAACGATGATTAAGTTGTTATATGTAAGCTGAGATTTTGCAAATTCTGGTTTAATAGTACTTTGATAAAGCTATTAGCAGCAGTAAGTAGGAAATGTCATTCAGAGCAATATCGTTTTCTTTTTCGTTCATTTGGAAATACAAACGGAACTTTTATTATAGTAAATATCATATACCTAATGCCCAAATTTTTTTGAACTGTTAAAATTGAACTTGGTTTGGACATATATAACGTAGTATTGATACTTCTTAAAACACTTCAAAAGTTATTTCAAAAAGACACTGATTGAATTCAAATCGTCTGCCTTCAGATTACTTATTATCTTCATACACTAAAGTCTGAACTGTGATTTCTGGTGATGCCTTATCAGTTACATCTTATCCATACAGCTCAGGTATTAGAACATGTAGGCAGTAATTCATAATTCCATCATAGAATAATTTAATTTGATAAAAAGCGTACAGTAATAGAGTATTCTTTACTGATGACTTTTACAGTAAAATTTGTCGATCATAATCAAATCAAGGCAATAACTTGTATGCTCCAGAAGTGAGCTGCTGATTGTTCTACGTTCTGCCTGTGATAACTCTGCTGCTAAGTGTTCGTGGGCACGTCTAGACAATGTTACTGAAAATGACAGTAACCTTTGACGTCTATTGTCAGTATACACTGCATATATAAACCCTCTAAATAACTGTACAACAGTCTGAAGTGAAGTTACGAAAAACGATCTCTGTTGACACACATGTTCTTAATTACACGAAATTTAACATTTGAAATTCTACACATCAGCTAATCAATTTTAGTTTAGAAAAACAAATACTTATCGATTAAAAACAGTGAAAAAACTGTTGAGCAGAATACAAACTTTGCTCTATTGTTTTCACTTCGACCTTGTTTTTGGTACTGAAATCGTCGAATAAATAACGGATCACACAATGTTGATAATGAATGTATGATTTTTCCTGTATAATTTTATAACGCCTACGTATTATAGATGTTAGAATGATTGTGTATGTGAAGGACTAAGTGTGCCTAGCTTACAGACTTTAATTTATATCGCTGATTTGTATTCACTAACCAAGAAATTCTTCAGTAAAAATATTCAGAGCTTGAGACAGCTGTAGAAATAATTCCCAAAATAAACTCAACAATAGAGGGACAAATAGACATAAACATCACAAGCTTCGGTTTCACTATGCGTCTGTGTGTGTGTGTGTGTGTGTGCTACAATCTACTTCCGCATACTTTGCACTGGGCATATTTATTGGAAAGGTTCACACCAAGATTAACAAACAAAATAAGGTTTTAAAGGTGTAGAAGACCGTAAAGCAATAAGAAAAGGCAACAAGTACATAAGATAAGATACGACTGCAATTATTATTTAAGCAAAGATGCAGATGAATCGCACTTAACTAAAGTAATTGAATCTTATCCATATTTTTAATAATCATTAGCCATGCATCTTGGATATGGTACAAGCTTTAACCAATAAGCCGTAGAATGTTTACCTATACTGATCCCCCTTAAGGGTTTTCATTGAAATATCACTTATCTTAGTTTAAATTTTAGTCAAGTCTATCTTAAGTCAATCAATAAATTAGCATTCAATGCGTTAGAACTCTTGATTTCTAAAAGGAAACTATGAGTGGTAACAGACAACAGAGTAATCTCCATTGTATATAGCAAACCAAAAAATTGTTTAGATTAATCAGAATTCACTCCTTTTATAGGATGACACTTTTTAAGTCAGCAACATCAAGATTTTAAAAATCTGTGGTTCCCTGTTAAACTAGTGGATGAGTATGAAGATGTACACTAATATCTCAAAAATCAGTATAAGTGATCAATTTTGTAGCACGTGGTCCCTAATCTTGATGTCTAGCAGTTCCTTCATTTCTAATTCTGTCAGAGTACAAGTATGAATCATCTTAAATCTGTGCTTCCCTTGTTCTAAAGTTTATAATACCAGTGTTTTATTTCATTCCTATATGTTCCGAGTAAAATATACCCTTTTAGCTTTGAAGTTTCAGTAGCGATGGTATTGTTTTTACCGCCCAACCTTTCATCTTTGGCTCACTTAATACCGGTTAAGTAAACTAGGCGGTTCAGGAGTCTGTTGGTTAAGAACCAATTTCAGACCACGTGGCGAGCACTGAACAACCAACATCAGTCTACAAATGATTTTACGGTAATTCACTGACTACTTATTTAAATTGAGAGTAGTATGTTAAAGCTAATATGTCAGTAGGTACAGAAGTATTATGTTGACGCTGCACTATCTACAAATCATTGCTTCCTACAAGTGTAAGATACATCTGTTCACTACAAATAAAAAACAAGTGCAGTTCTGATTCCGTTGACTCAGAATTTGCCTTCCTAAATGCCACGCTCGCAGGAAACGGTCATCTGAACCGATTTATTGACAGAGACACAAAAGATAAGCAGTCCAAACTGGTCACCGACTGAGTTCCAAAGAAAGTCTTATTCATAAATTTGGATTTTAAAGGTGATCAAGCTTCAGATATGCTCAAAAACCGTCTGTCTTAATCAGCCAGTAAGGCGTTCTTGGCTGTAAAATTACAAATGACTTTTACCAGCCGAAAGTCGTTCTCCATCTCTGTAAACGATAGACCCCCTCGTCTGACCTCCTCGATGTGCATCTACAGATCACCTGCTCTTGTGGAGCAAGGAATATCAGCCGTAGCCATCAAACACTTTTTAAATGGATACGAGGACATATTCTAGCATGGTTTTATAGGGGAGAAAGGAAGGGTGTAAGAAGCTCTACTCTAGAATACTTGATCAACTCCTGTCACTCTACCGACCCTGACTATCACTTTAAGATAATCTATCGAATCAATACTAACTTGCCGCATTTCTCTTCGTTATAAACTTATAAAAGCCATGGAGGCCTTGGCCATCCATGAATTTAAGCTGGACCTTTGTGTACAAAGGTAGTATGTGCAATCCATATTTCTGCCTTGGCCATAGAAGGATAGAAATTTATTTATTTTTTTAAATATTTTATTTATTTCGTTTATTTAGTTAATCTGTATACCTTTCCCTCGTAACTACGATTATTACTATTACTACTTTCACTCTGAATTGTTTCCACATGTCTTACTTGTCATTCTAAATCCAGAATATTTTATAATGTTGGGTTCCTTCTTATCAAATTTCACATCATGCTATGTAATGGTTTATATATTAGTCTACTAACTTCATGATTATACACCCGTTTCCAACATCTATTCTATGTGTGACACTAATTGTTTTGCCACTTTACATTTAACATAACATATCACAAATATTTTAATTACATTTCATACTATTATTGTTTCATTTATTCACACCTTTTAATTCAATTCCTTCAGCGGATTTATTTTCTTTAAAAATACCATGTTATATATATATATACTATTGTACAGCTTGATAATAAATTTGTCGAAAAGAGTCTCTTCTCTGAATATTGTGTTCTATACATTGGTTAGTTATACATTATTTAAAATTTCTCATGTAAACACAGTTTAATAATTCCCGTTCACTTCTAAAAATATACTTTTAGGCGCACCTGGAGATCCGGGTCCAATTGGAGAGGCTGGTGCGCCAGGTGAAGATGGTCCACCTGGTCCTGAAGGCCCACGTGGCAAAGATGGTGTTGATGGTGCACCTGGAAGGCCAGGGAAATCAGGTAAACCTGGTCAGTCTGGAGCAGTTGGCGCACAAGGACCACCAGGGAAACCCGGAGATGCTGGATATGCTGGTCCTCCTGGGCCATCTGGAATTCCTGGCCCATCAGGGGAACCTGGTTTACCCGGAGTGGATGGTGTTAATGGAACTGCTGGTCCACAAGGGCCTCCTGGGAATACAGGTGCTCCGGGAGCTCGCGGTGCTGCTGGTCCTCCAGGAATTGATGGTGCTAAAGGTCCACCCGGAGATGAAGGACCTGTTGGGCCTAGAGGGCAAGCCGGACCAAGAGGAACTCAAGGCAAAGATGGACTTCCTGGACTTCAGGTAATCTTTCTAACAAACTCGTGTATTTTTAAGTGCAGTAGTGTTCTCTTGTCTAATGATAAAAATGCATTTGTAGAAGAATTTCACTCTAATCTCTTGATAACAAATAAAATCACAGATTAAATTATAAGGATTCTGGGTTTCAGTTTTTAAATCTTGTGTTCATAAAAATGAGGAAGGTCATATTTAAGAGACTCCTATTGCATGAAATATAAGTTGACGCAGAGAATAAAAATACCATTCCATACCATCTGTTTCATAGATGCCATTAACAAAATAAATGCTAAAAGTTTCAATAAAAAGTTGCCGGAAATCAACTGATATGGGGAAGACAAAATTCGAAATAAATATGTTGATATCGAAATGACATTAGTTACAAAACTGCTGAAAACCAGGAAAAATTGGGCACTTCCTTGGTCCTATTTAAGGACTCTTCAGCAGTGCACACCCACGACCCACTAAGCTGGCTGTGACAACAAATACTCGCCGATGATATCGGCTGGCATTGATGGCATTTATCGCGAATTGGAAGAAGTCAGAATTCATGGGCCATTAGATTCCATCCCAATGGCCGAATGATCAACGGGCTCTCATCATAACCTGAATGTACTGGCTTCAATTCGCAGTGGAGTGGTGAGTGCATTCCAAACTAGGTTGAAAAACTCTCCAGTACCTATTGGTATTTAGTAGTTCTTTAACTGATGTCACTTAGTGATCTAACTTGAAATCATTCACTTCTTCACAAAGCAACACTTAAAAATGTGTCACTTATATTTTATTAATTAATGGGTTCTAATGAATTTAAACACGAAGCGAAATGTTTTGTAAATGAATTTAGCTGAAGAGTTACAAGCAAAGACAAAACATCCTAAACCTGACGTTGATTTACAACATGGCCTTTCTTGAGAATTAGAAAATTTATTACATTGAAGGTTATCAACGCATTTTTTAAATAAATGCTGTTTTAACCCTATACGACATCGACATCATTTGCGACTAAAACATACAGTTACACATTACGAAAATTAAAATGTAACACTTCTGTATATAAGATTGCTGTTGACATTAATTATTTTATTATCTTTTCTTGCTTCATTTTACCTAGGGAAAAATGGGTGCTCCTGGTAGACCAGGTGCAAGAGGATCAGCTGGAGTTATGGGTGTGCCGGGACCTCAAGGAAAGATAGGACCAACAGGTAAAGAAGGCCCGCAAGGACCATCTGGTCCTGTTGGACCGCCTGGGCCACCAGGAACGGATGGAGAGGTTGGTGGTGCTGGACCAGTTGGAGAACTTGGATCTCCCGGACCACAAGGTCTTCCAGGTGAACGAGGGCTTCAGGGTCCACCTGGTCCCTTAGGAGAACCAGGCCCGCCAGGACCCAGTGGGCCTCCGGGAATACCGGGACCAGATGGACCAAGCGGACCGAGGGGTGAGCCAGGTGATGCTGGTACAGACGGTGTGCCGGGAGGAAAAGGTGAAGATGGACCACCAGGACTTCCTGGACGGCCCGGAAAAGATGGTTCGCCAGGTAGACAAGGAAAATCTGGACCTCAGGGACACAAAGGATGGACAGGTCCCCCGGTGATCCTGGCCTTCCGGGGATAGCTGGACAACCAGGACAACCAGGTCTTCGCGGATATCGTGGACTTTCCGGTTTGCCAGGAGAAGTTGGGTCTCCTGGTGCTCCAGGACCTCAAGGGGAGGCTGGATTTATTGGTGAACCTGGTCCTCCAGGTGGCCCTGGTCCTGTGGGAAAAGATGGGCCACGGGGACCCCCGGGCCACATGGGTAGTGAAGGGCCGCCCGGACCTCCTGGGCCCCCAGCTATGAGTTACGGTAAAATGTATGGAGACCAAAAGGGTATAACTCTAGAAATGCCCAATGGAACACGCACTTTCCCAGCTAGATCATGCAATTATTTGTCCCGTACACATCCTCAACTTCCAGATGGTAAGATTTGTTTGCATGCAAAGTGCATTTTTCTGATTGATCTATCCTCTTTTTGTATTTTTCCAGAATAGTTATGTGGACTTGTATTTTGTGTAGTAATTAGCGAATTAAGACAATGAACAATTACTACTGAAATTTAGGATATTTAATCATAACGCTCAAATGCTCTATTCTAAAAGTATCTACTGAACCGAAACAACTTTCACTTTGTCATCCAGTCAAGCTATTGATGAACATGTGATCCCAACGCTGTGATTAGTTTTACCTGGACATTATCTGTTTCTGACATGAGATCAACATTTATTGAGTGAATAAAGCGGAAACATATTTTAGACATGACTTAGACAAAACAGATTGGTGGGATAATTTGAACCAGATTATGTGAAGTATCTCACGATTATTTTTGCAATTAAATTAGTTAGTAGACAGCTTAAAGCGAAAACTACACAGAGCTAAGACAAAATAAGTGTTTTAAAATGTCCTTCATGAATAGAATAGATCTGAAAACTAATACGTGTCGTTCAATCACCTACTTGCCCACTATTCACAGTTTCCATCAAAGTATCACCCGCTTTGTGTCCTAAGCTTATTTCAGATGAATTTTCTTCTTATATATCCAGGATACCTCTTCATACCTCTTCAGACTACCTTTTTCTTTCTTTCCATTGAGGCTTGTGTGATCTGTGAACAATCATTGTTCTTTCAAACATCTGGCTAGCTGATGATCACCATAACTGAATAGCATATCTGGAGAATCAGGTCAAGCCAATCGTTGCTGCCGCTTCCTACTAGTTTCTTCGTTTCTTTTTCCCCTAGTCTCTCCCCATTGCAGTATAACTTACTTGCTGCAAAGGGTTTTAAAGATGTTATCTTTGGCTTATACCACGAGTTCCTTGGACCTCTAGGTAGTCATCATTCATAGCGTTAATCAAAAAATAAATTGATTGATTCACTGATTGTGTTAATTGATTAAATCACCTGTTTACATTTAGGTGAATACTGGATTGATCCAAATGGTGGCTCAAATAAAGATGCAGTTAAGGTATTCTGTCGCCTGCGTTCAGGCGAAACATGTTTTTCACCACTGACTACTTCTTATCAGAACAGAGATGTGAATAAAACTATTGGTAAAGATATTTGGTTTAGTCAACTGTATGAAGAGAAACAGGTAAGAGACTGTACCTAATGCCATTCTTATTACTGTCATTACACTTACTATTATTGTTACTACCATTATTGATATGGCTGCTGTAGACAGAGAGACTAAAATGTTCCTCGAGAAAACTTCAGAGAATTGCTTACTTTACACAGGACTTGGTTGTCATCGACAATTATATTTATGGTAAACTTCAAGGGAATGATGTGTGAAACTTTTAAACAAAAACAAACTAGGACGAAACGGCTGTCCAGTACTCCCAGGTTTTCCAGTGGTTCTCTAACTGATGTCAGCTCATGATTAAATCCTCCATGCAATCAAACAAAATCCCTACAAAAAACCAATACTTGAAAAAACTAAATGACAATAAAATCTAAACTGCAAGTTTATCAGTTTCTTGACTAAACCAAGAAATTCAATTAAAGTCTCATTAAGCCTCTAAGACAAATAAACTGGTGATAATTAGGTTTCATAGTTATCAAAGTAACCCATCGGTGTAGGAGAAACTGCCCAGTTAACAGGATGAGAATATATATAATCACTTTGGCATTATAGTCTTCATTTTTTGAAAGAAGTATTTGTTCAGTGTACTAATAAAGTAATATTAAGTTTTTAAGCAAGTGAATGAACTCTTAAAAGCTCAAACAAAAGTACAATATTTCACCTCAAGAATGAAGTCAATAATAAATTGAACAAAATCCAAATGAATATTATGTTAGATGGGGCAGTGTATTTCAAAGCACCACTAACGTCATGGTCGCATAGCCAAAAGTATGTAAACAAAAGGTGGTTATTTTCAGTGTTGAATATCTATTGAACAATCAGTTCAATGTAAATAGTACCGATAAATTGTTAAATCTGTGCCAAATAATAATAAGAATAATAACCCGGTATTTGTAAAAATGTAAGATACAGTGCTCTAAAAACCAGTATCACATAAATGAAATCTTTTTAATTAATTCCGTATTTAATATTAATTAAACCTCCAATATTACATAGAGAATTACAGACTAAATTAAAGAGTACAGACTAATATAACCGGAGAGAGAAAAAATGTAGTTGTTGTAAAAATTAATAAAGATAAAGAACAACCTCAGTATGACCACTTTTGAAAAAAAAATAGTTAGATAGAAAACTATTCACAGAATGCAGTGCACTCACAGGATGAATGTATTTGTTGAATTGTAACTGACTCTTCTTTGTTGTTACGGATAAAACACTGCTAAATAGCCTTTCTTTGAGCAAACTGATTTTGATGCCGTGATGTAAAGATGATAATTAAAGTTAAAGTGAGAAGAAAACTTTATTTCTCATTAAGTGATAGATGCTAGAATTTATGGGTAACTGAAATCAAACCCAACGACTGAGTGATAAACGAGCTAGCCCCTTTTAGGTTAGATCCCTGCTGGCGCTTTAGGTACGCACCTCTGGAGGGCACCAAGTTAGGAAGATACAATGGTCCAGTGGTCCCTAGTCTTTGATGGTTCTCTGACTAATATCGCTTCGTAACGAAATCTACTCCGAAAAAACAACAAATTAAATCAGTGACATAAATAAATATTGAACAGTAAGTCACGGCGTTAACAAACTTCTCATCTAACATAAATAACATTGGTAATTCTTCAACTAATTTGCAAACTGAGATTGTAAAATATATAGGCTATGCGTCGGTGGTTGATGAGTAGAATGTTAGCCAACCTCACACGTGATCCGGGTCAGAATGACGCATTTATAAGTCTTACCTAGTTGGCAGTAAGCGCGAAAAAGAGAGGAGGTTAAGCATGAGACTAACAACCCTACCATGTTAAAGCACTACTGAAATTTCAAAGCTTGCAGTCCTATGTTCCTCTTGGAACTCAAGGAATGAATAAAATGCGATGGGGAAAGCTTTTGAGAAACAGCACTACAAATGAGATTGTACTCATAGCTGGATTTATTTAGTATTACACAACTATCTTTCATAGCAGCTACACTTGTAAAGAAGTTGGTCATATTGTATGTAGTGTTCATTTTCCTCTTGTTTTCATTATGTTCTTCTCCTGACGTTTCTGTGTTATTTTTAACATTTCAGTTTACTTATGAAATGTCAATGAATCAGATTAATTTCCTACAACTGTTTTCCGCGAAAGCTAATCAACAGTTAACAATAATATGTAATGAAATTAATTTCACTGGGAAACGAACACCACGTCTGTTTACAAATAATGATAAAGAATTAACTGAAAATGGCTCATTTCTAAGTTACAAATTAGTCGAAAACAGCTGTCAGGTATTAATAACCGTTTTTATTCAGTGTTTTCCATTTGTTTTAAAGTCTGCTTTGTAGTGTATTGGATTGTTATAGTTTGTTTCTACTTAAATTATTGCATTGGACTATAGGCGATGAGGCTTCCTGTTGAATGATTACATTGAGAATGCGTGTATGATTTAGCCTTCACTGGAACACAAATAAAGACAGCAATCTGTCTAATGAAATAGGCCACATATATACTAAAATGAATTCATGAAAACGCGAATTTATATGACTAATTTTGAAAACTACTACCTACATTAATCCATCATACAGCCTACATTTAAGTATCAGGCAACATATAACTGATATTCAGATGTGTACGAACTGTAACGCAATCCAAATAATTGCCTCAAAAAAGTTTCCTAATACGCAATTTAATGTCAAAATATCTATCTGGAAAATACTATGTGGTTATGTTAATATAGGCAACGAACTATCCCTCTACAAATAATATCGTTTCTAGAATGACCAATAGAGGCACTTAACCCTTTTTGGTAATTAAATTTATTTATTTTATTGCACATTGAGGGGTAGATGTGAGCTTAAAAAAGTTGCAGTAGTTAAATGGCCTTGTATTTAAATGTTGTTTGCTGAAATACAGCAGAAAACGTTTGTGTTATTGTATTCTTTGAAGAGGATTTTTAAACTGAGAAGTTTTCATTGTCATAAAGTGATATCAGTCGGAAGGAAGGGATAGATGTGTTCTATCATTTTGGAAATTTCAGCATATGAACAACTATGTTACCAATCAGAGATCAACACTATGACAAGTAGAAATTCAAAACAAATAGGTTACTATTTATTATCTGTTTAAGTGAATTTTGATTTCCCTGTCGATTAGTTCGACTGAAATGATTTCTCCTGATGACAGTATGCTATGCGCAATTTTTATACACCTTGTAATAATAATTTCACACTCTTTTGTCGTCCAACAGTCGATGAATATAAGTTATGCTAAAATTAGGTTGGCTTTTTCATCGTCTTACTGCACATGCACTCACTCCACGACAGAACCATGTTGATCTTGCACCTTTCCTTCTAATGCCTTGCAATCTTTACTATGTCTTACATCTTTGGATAACGGGGAAGTGCTAAACAGGTTTCAGTGATACAGTAAAACTTCCCTGCAATATCATTCGTTTGCTGACATTCTTAAATCCATCGCCGTCAGTGACACATACAGCAATATCAGAAAAGAACTCTGAGGAGATTCTTCTCCAAATAAATTGACATTCAGGTGTTTTTCATTTGTAAAAGTTTATTTATTTTTAAGCATAGATTTGGTTACATTTCACCTTTTCCAATTTCTCTTTATATATATGTAGTCTGCATCATCGAAATTTGGTAAAATGACAATTGAAGTGGATACAAAATCACAACGTCTTCCATTACGCGATATAATCTTACCACAAATTGATCATTCACAACAAATTCTTGGCTTAGAATTAGGCAGAGTATGCTTTCATTAAGTGAAAAAAAAAACTATTAGAAGCAGAAAAAAACCATTTTGTTTTTGTTTCCTTCTTGACAATTAAAACAAAACAAAAAAGTGAAAATAAGATAATGAGTAATTTACAAAAGTATTGACAGAACAAAAACATAATTGATCTCTTTTTACACACAATTGATCTTTTTTCTCTCATGTGCCTATATACACATACACACTTCTAAGTGGAATCAGAATATTTACACCTTTCTGTGTGCCTGCCTGCTTGTATGCGTCTGTGTATGCATGGGTGTACGTGTGGAGCTTCTCTCTGTAACATGAAATATGCAACTCTTGTTATTTGCTAACGTCCTGTGAATGATCTCATAACCCTGATACTTTATGAAATAGTAAACTAAAAAGGAGAATAAAACAAATATAAATATTTATGAAGAAAAGTTTTTTCATTGCTTTTATTCTTCACTATTTATCAATTAGAATGCATAAATACCTTTATAATCTTGTAATATTATCCAATGTTAAATTACTATGTACCGTAGAATTATTTTGTTTGTCAGTATGGCCACGTTGCACACTATTGCTATAGAATTGGATTAATACTACAGACTAATGAAAGGTACTGATGGGTTTTTCTGTATCTGCGGTAATCAGAAATACTGGTAAGAACTTCGGAAACACCATGTTTATGAGTGCTTGCAAGGATAAAACCCTGATGAAGCATTTTTTCCCTTCTGTATGACTCTTATCACCTAGCATTCAGGTACTAGCTGACGCGATTCATTGGAGACCACTCACATTAACCAGCAGTACTCACCAACTAAATCAAAGTGAGCTAAGCATGAGAATACTGTTTTACTAGTTTCAGGTCGATCTTATGAGTAGTATAATGGAATGCACTAATGGTTACATCATTGAATCGACTAAAGTAGACAGATGTTAGGTGGAATTACACAAATCTTGACCTTGTTCGTTCCTCTAAATGTTGAATTATAAGTATTTCTGAATGTTGACACAAAGACAACCTATGTGAAACAGATAAGACGACATATTAGGGGACAAACATGCTGATAAAATTCACTCTATCCCACTAGAAGTTTCTCCAGCATGTATGATACACTCCTTTCTTTCACTGCTTTACTAAAATAAGTACCAAATCTGTTATCTGCTTAATGTCGTTAGCCTTAATTTACTATTGACTGATTTTATCTTATTATTATTACTCACTACTTGAGTTCCTAGTGGAACGTAGGTCTTCGATCCCACATCTGCATTCCCCTCGATTGCTTGTCATCATTTCCAACCGGCTAAATGACTTCCCATAGGCTTTCATTTCTTCCTCATATGATCTCCTCCGTAAAAAGTTTGAGCATTGTGGATTAGATCAAATAAAGTATAATTATATTTTAATAGTTTACACACAATTGTGTGTAAACTATTAAAATATAATTATACTTTATTTGATCTCCTCCGCTTCACTCTCGGTTTCACACCCAACTCGTTGTCAGATTCTCTTTCTCATTTCACTCGAGAGCCTGCTTGGCTTTCGGTATTACTCGATGGTCTCCTCAGTGTATGTTCAATCCATCTCCATTGCTTTCTGAATATTTACTGGGCAACAAGTTATTGGTTGGCTCGCTGGCTACCATACTTTCTTGTTGCTTATCATTTCATACCACTTATCTGACTTTCAGCGGCGAGCGTAAGTGCTGATGAAGGTATGTGGTGACCCGTTAAAGATGCTTCAAGTGGCATGTCTACCAAGTTTCTGAATTATATACAAGCACTGACTGACTTGACACTAGTGTTAAGCAGTATTCGGATGTTACTTTCTGTTCTGTATGAGTGTTATAAATCTCCAGAGTAGTTTCAAGGCAATGAAGGCCTGTTTTGCTTCCCCTGTCCTGGCAAGCTTTCAAATATTTATCTGTGACGCCCGTAGCTGAAACGGTACTGCCCGGGTAAGTGGAATAAACAACTTTATCTAGATCTCTTTTATTGGTCGGATATTTTCATGGTCTCTGACTTCTCTATGTTTACTTGAAGTCCTGTTTTCTTTGCTTTCTCCGCCAACTTGCTGCTCTTCGTTTGTAGATCTTCAAGTTTGTCCGTGAAGTCCAAATCTTCCAGGGTCTTTCTGCCAGTCCAGTTTTCTCTGTTATCCTCAGTCCTCATGGTCTGGTACCTGGTTCACTCCACCACAGTCAGGAATATAATGGGTGATACTAAACAGCTGTAACTTACTCCTGCCTTCATTTCAAGGCCACGTGGAAATTTTCTTTACGAATCACTTGGTATGTGGCTTTGGCACATACCTGTTGAGCGGAGTTGGTAAAAATTTAGGGTAATCCACAGTGCTGAAGCAGTTTCCAAATCACTTCACCACCAACGCTGTAGAAGGTCTTTTCATAGGTGAGGAAGAGGGTTGGCTGCCATTCTATTCTGTGTATGATGATACTCAGTATTGAGATTTGGTATGTGCATGATTTGTTTCTCCCCAATCCACTGTTTTCCAGACAAACTCTTCCATTCAGAGCATCTTTTAGTTTATATGAGATAACGTGAGTTAATATTCTGTTTGAGGCGGAACTAGACAAAACAACAGCTGAAGAAGTACGTGCATAATGTGCGTTTACATTAAAACGACAAAAATGTGGAAAGCCTAACCTGACCAAACAAGAGACAGAAGCCCTGAAACACCTTTAGAACAACAATGATATAGTTATCACAAAGTCAGACAAAGGAAATGCAACAGTAGTATTGGACAAATCAGACTATTTGGACAAAGTAAATACTCACATACAAACAGGACCATATGAGGAAATTAATAAATCAATAGACACAGTTATGAATAAAGTTAAGAAATCCACAGCGGACCTTATACGCCGAATGAAGCCATCTCTAGGTGAGTCTAAACGGTTTAATTTAATGCCAAAAACTAATAACCCCAGTAAGATGTATGGTGTTGTTAAAATTCATAAATCAGGATACCCTATTAGGCCTATAGTTGATTTTAGAAATTCACCTACCTATGAATTATCTAAATATTTAGCCATGGTATTAAATCCCCTAAAAATCCACTCGAAATCTAGACTAACTAATTCTTATGAACTAAAACACAGATTAGATAATTTAAAATTAGATAATGAAAAAAAATGGTTAGTTTTGACATTGTCAGTTTATATACACGTATACCAATAAATATGGCTATAGAGGCAGTCAGAAACGAACTCATTTCTGACCAAGAACTCGAACTTAGGACAAAAGTGCCAATTGAGGACATAATGCTGGGAGTGCAGCTTTGCCTGACTTCTACAGTATTTAAATTCCAAGGGAAAATATACAAACAAACTGAGGGAGTTGCCATGGGATCACCAATATCCCCGGTGGTAGCAGATATATTCATGGATAGGTGGGAAAAGATAGCGATTGAAACGTTCACCCCCACCCCAAAAGTATGGTGGAGGTATGTAGATGACACATTCACTGTACTTAGAACACAAGATATAGATAGATTTTTCGAGCACATCAACTCGAAGGTAGAGGCAATTCAATTCACTTATGAATTGGAAAGTCAGGAAGGGGAACTTCCAATGTTAGATTGCAGCGTAAAAAGGAAAGAAGATGGGAAGCTAAACACTAGTGTTTACAGAAAACCCACACATTCAAACAGATATTTGGATTTCCGATCATCCCATCCTATGTCAGTAAAAATAGGATTAGTGAAATGTTTAAATGACAGAGCACAAAAACTAAGTAGTACCAAGGAAAATCTAAGACAGGAAGTGACACACATAAAAGAAGCCTTGAAACTTAATAATTACCCGGATAAATTAGTCAAGAAATATGTAAGTAAATGTAAAAATAAAATAAATAATGATAACAGAGATAGTGATAATAATAATAACAATAATAATGTTAACAATAATAATAATAATGGTAATAATAATAGTGATAATAATAATATTAATAACGACACCAACAATAAGGAATGTAAATCATCAACAATAATTCCATACAAAGAAGGAACCTCGGAAGCCTTACGCAGAATTCTTAACAAGGCAGGAATAAAAGTGGCATTCAAACCCACAAACTCAATTAGAAACAAGCTTTGTCGGTTAAAGGATCCTGTAGAGCCATTAAAACAAAACAATTTAGTTTATCTAATACCCTGCAATGATTGTGAGGTCAAATACATAGGTCAAACTAGTAGAACAGAGGCAGTCAGACTAGCCGAACATAAAAACCTAGCTAAATCTAGATTGGTTGACCCGAATAAGATAAGAAATCTAGAGAGTAGTTCAGCTATAGCACTACATGCAGTTACACACAACCATACAATAGGATGGGATAGGATGACAGTTTTAAAATCTAATGTCACAGAGTATAGGGAGAGATTGATAACAGAAGCTTTGTTTATCGAATCAACTGCAAATACATGTAATAGGAATGATTCAACACCTGTCCCAGATATATGGAAAATTCTACTGCCCATACAACAAATAGGAGAAGACAGAGAAAACTATAAAAATCAAATCTCGAAGTCGTGTGACAAAAATTGATATGATTATGAACAATAAATTGTGTTCGAAACGTCATCCAGTATACAATTCTGTTTCACAGTGTGATACATTTAATAAACAAACTAATATGGAATTGCTTAGCAACAAATGTCATCGTTTCATATGACTTGACATTTCCTACTTGTATACTGTTTTCATTAGAATTTCTAAAGCTATTCATCATGAAGCTGTTCACATAACTTTGAGTTTATAAGAACTGTCATCCACGATCTTGCTAAATCCACTACAAATCTTGATAGTCATGGCGTGAACTCCAAATGAATTCTGCCTCCTCACCGTTAAAGAATAATGAATTTGGAGTGGAATCATTACTTAGTGCTTCTTAGTTTGCTGTGGTTCTCCAGCTGCTTACATACACCAACTAAATCCAGCACAAAATCAACCGAATTTTTAGAAATGGCAAAATAACTGCGATTTTATTTTGAAATTTTTCCTATATGTA